GCCGGGGTGTCTTCTGGGAAGCAGAGTCTGGAGGGCCGCCCGTGTCACCCACCACACTTCCCCATGCCACGTGAGGATCTCTCCGAGGGTGGGTTCTGGGCCTCCCTTGCCCCAGCCCGCAGGAGGCTTGAGTCGGCACTTTTCAGAGCTCAGCCTGGGCTCAGCCAGCTGACACCTGCAGCCCCTGGAGAAACCGTCAGCCACAAAGGGGAGCAGAGGGAACCCATCCCCACCCCCACCCCATTCCCCTCAGAGGAACACTGCCTGGGGTGGGCTGTGTGGGGAGGCTGAAGCCCCTTGTGCTCCTCCTGTGCAAGGGGGTAGCCGAGGGCTGCGGGCCTGGGCCTGAGCCCTGACGCCTCTGATCGGTAGGAAAGATGGAACCAGGAGCTTTCTGAGCCTGCCCTGGCCCCTGCCCTGCCCCATGGGGCTGAGAAGACCAGGTCAAGGGTTTGGAAGCACCAGCAAACGTGCGTTCAGGCCTGAATGCGCAGGGTATGACTGCTGCCTGATACGCATGCCTCGCCAAGGCCCTGGATTTCATCTGGCCTCCAGAATTTCTAGATAGTGGACAAGAGAGGAAGTTGTCAGGTCCAGGGCAGGGCTGGGGACAGAGGTACTAGGTGATGTCTCTTCCCCGCTTTTGCTATCTCTCTCAGGCACTGTTTCCTCCATGATAGCCAGGCTGCAAGGTGGCCCCCAGCGAGTCCTGTCTCCCTTGGCTCACACCCTCATGTCGTCCCCTCCCACACTGTACCACGATGGGTCTGTGTGACCAATAGCATAGGGCAGAAATGCTGGCGTGTCACTTTCAAGATGAAACTTAACTATTTTTTTTTTTTTTTTTGAGTTGGAGTGTCACTCTGCTACCCAGACTGGAGTGCAGTGGCCGCTCCCGGCCACTGCAGCCTCGACCTGCTGGGCTCCGGCAATCCTTCCACCTCAGCCTTCCAAGTAGCCGGAACAACAGGTGCGCGCTACCACGCCCAGCTAATTTTTGATTTATTATAGAGATGAGGTCTCGCCAAGTTCCCCGGGCGGGTCTCGAACCCTGTGGGCTCAGGCAATCCACTCACCTCGGCATCCCAAAGTGCTGGGATTACAGGCGAGTCACCGAGCCCGGCCTTAACTGTTGTTTATAGACAGAGCCTCTGTCGCTCAGGCTGGAATGCAGTGGCTACCACAGCTGAGAACTGCTGGGTTCAGGCTATCCTTCTGCCTCAGTCTTCCAAATAGCTGGAACCACAGGCATGCACCACCATGCCCATCGAAGTTTTTTTTTTAATTTGTTGTAGAGGTGAGGCCTCGCCAAGCTGTACAAACCCCTGGGCTCAGGTAATCCTCTCTTCCACCTCCCAAAGTGTTGGGATTACAGGTGCAAGTCACTGTGCCCAGCCTCACGATGAAACCTTTTTTTTTTTTTTTTGAGTCAGAGCACTTTGCTCCTGGACACCTCAGCCTCCACCTGCTGGGCTCTGGCGATCCTTCCCCGCAGCCTTCCCAGTAGCTGGAACTACAGGTGTGCACCACCACGCCTGGCTAATTTTTTGGATTTATTGTAGAGACGAGGTCTCGCCAAGTTGCCCGGGCTGGTCTTGAACCATTGGGCTCAGGCAATCCTCTCGCTTCCACCTCCAAAGTGCTGTGATGACAGGCTGAGCCGCCTCGCCCAGCTAAGATGAAGCCTAGTCTTGATTAAAGATGTGGTAGCTTTTGTCTTGTCCACTGTATACTGGGGGAAGCCGGCTGCCTTGTCATGAGAGGGCCTGCGAAGGTCCCACACGGGGAGAAGCCAAGGCCTCTGGCCAGCAGCCACCTGAGGAAGCCGCCTTGAAGGCAGATCCTCCAGCCCCAGCCAAACCGTGCCTTGGCGGCAACCCATGAGAGATCCTGTGCCAGAACTTGCCAAGCAGCACCTGGACTCCTGACTGTGTGAGATCACGTTTATTATCACGGTTATTTGTTTTGCTTTGTCTTTAGAGACAGGGCCTCACTCTGTCACTGGAGCTTTAGTGCAGCAGTGTAATCATCGGTCACTGCAGCCTCAATGCCTGGGCTCAAGTGATCGTCCCACCTCAGCCTCCTGAGTAGCTGGGACAACAGGTGGTCATCACTATGTCCAGCTAATTAAAATTTTTTTTTTGTAGAGGTGGCTGGATGTGATGGCTCACAGTTGTAATTCCAGCACTTTGGAATGCTGAGCTGTGAGAATCGAGAATTGAAATCAGGGGTTTGAGACCACCCTGGGCAACATAGAAAGACTTCATCTCTAAAAAAATAAAAAAAAGTTTTGTTTGTTTGGTTTTTTTTTTTAATTCTATAGATGCAGGGTACAATTCAGGGTTAGGTATACAAATGGTCATATGCAGGTACCCTTGTGGATGAGGTGTGCCCCCCACCTCCCATGGCAGTTTTCCACCACTGCCAAAAACGTTTTTTGTTTTTTTTTTTTTTGAGTTGGAGTCTCACTCTGTCGCCCAGACTGGAGTGCAGTGACACGCTCCCGGCCACCGCAGCCTCGACCTGCTGGGCTCCGGCGATCCCTCCGCCTCAGCCTTCCGAGTAGCCGGAATTACAGGCATGCGCTACCACGCCCGGCTGATTTTTTGATTTATTGTAGAGATGAGGTCTCGCTGCCCGGGCGGGTCTCGAACCCGCGGGCTCAGGCAATCCACTCACCTCAGCCTCCCAAAGGCGCGGGATGACAGGCTGAGCCACTGAGCCCGGCTGAGCCTTATTATTTTAAAACGCTAAATTCTGGGGTGATTTGCCATGCAGCAGTAGATAACTCCTGCACCCTCCTTCCTTCTTAACAAGGACCTGGGATGCTTCCCCATCCACCCACTGGAGCTTCCTGGGCTCCCGGCCTCCCGATGCCCCTTCGGCTCCAGGACCCCAGGCCGGAACACTGGCTTCCAGACGAACGAGCTGGAGAACGAAGGAAGCAAGCTCCCTGGGGGCCTCTGAAGGACGGGAAAAGGGCTGGAGGCTCAAACGGGGAGGGAGGGTCTGGGGGAAGCAGGAGCGTCAGCCCCGGGGAGACCCCGCAGCGAAGCGTTTGCAGCACACAGCCTTGTGCTCTCTCTCCCTTCTGCCCTCTGCTGCGCTCTCCAGGGCGGAGGAGCAAGGGGCCCTTGGCTCTGCCTCTGGCCCCCTCATGGGAGAGCAGGGGGAAATCCCTGCACGGCCCGGTGAATCTTCGATGACTGCTCTCAGAGCCCAAAGGGCACAGGACGTCATCTAGAAGAAAGGAAAAGCATGCCACCCACAGAACTTTCCAGGAAACCCTTGCCCGGTGAACACGTGGGGCTTCCACTGAGGCTGAGGAGAGCAGGGTCCTGGGCAGAGCCGAGCCGTTCCGCCCGGGCGCCCGGCCACAGCCCAGGGTGGGGCGGTGCTCTGGAGGCTTCTTGAAGGCCCGAGGACTTTCCTTTGCGGCGCGCCTGTCCCGGGCGAGTGTCAGGGCCTCCTCCTTCCTGTGCCACAGGCGCGCCACCTGTGACCCCGCGGGAGCCACCGCCATCCTGAGGCTCAGAACCTCAGACCGCTGTAAAGGCTTCCTCGGCAGGCTTCAGAGACGCCCCCTCTCCCCTCAGTGCTCTGCACAGAGCAGAGGTGTCTCCCCACTCTCTTTCCGCGGCCATGGGGTCTCCTGAGGGACAGGGCCTTGGCCTCGGGGCTTGTGTGTCTCTGCACCCGCACACAGGCTCGGTGGGATGCCCGGGCCGGGCCACTAGGCGCCTTCTGCTTGGCGGGCTCGCTTCCCCTGGCTTTCCACACGGTTCTCCCGTGCGCGCGGTGCAAGTCCCCAGCACAGCTGTCTGTGGCCCAAGTACAGAGCCCCCCACCCTTTGCAGGCGCAGGGCCGTACCCCTCTGCCAGGCTCGAGGGTGCCACGGCTGCGGCTGTGTGTGCTCTGCCGAAGGGGCCATCAGCATGGCGCAGGTGAATGCGCCTTCCAAGGACAGACGGCCGGGTGCGGGGGAATCCCAGCGCTTTGGGGGGCAGAGGCGAGAGGGCTGCCTGAGCCCAGGGTTCGAGAACAGCCTGGGCAGCATGCTGAGACCTTGTCTCTACAATACTTAAAAAAATACAGGTGCATGCCCTCGTTTGTAAAGTCATTTGCTCAAAGGAGAAACAACCCAGCCGGACACGGTGGCTCGAGTGGAGCTCCAGCTACTCGGGAGGCGGGGGCGAAGGACCGCCGGGGCCCAGCAGGGCCAGGCTGCGAGCCGGGCGCGCGCCGCTGCCCCCAGCCTGGGCGGCGGAGCGAGGCTGGGACTAAATGGGGGAGAAGCCTAAGGACGGCCAAGAGGGGACGCACGCGGCCGCGGCGCCTCAGTCCCGTCGTC